TAATTTATTGTTTAAAATCAGTAATCCGTTCTATAACGGTATAACCGTTCCTGTTTTAAACTTTTCTTATATTACGACAACTATAGAGTTTTCGTAATACAACATACAAGCAAATTAAGTCCAGTTCAAAAAATACATATTGATGAATTCAGTTACACATTAACTCGTGTATAATTTTTCACCTCCAAGTTTGGCTTGGCTATTTAAAGATGCCTAATTGATTATGTAAATACGACATCTGCTTGACACTATAAATTTACAACTTTAATAATTTAATGATACTAATTCTGTATATAGAATTGTCTTTAGAAAGACAATTGGTAAAACAACTTAATTTCTATCTACACAAACCAAGTAAGCCATCAAGATATTTAATATACATTATTTATTTAATGTTATATAATATATAACACATATTTTTTTATATAAAAGGTAAATAGTAAAAGTTTTATTTTTATTTTCACCAGCGTTTACTATTGTATTATACGAAAAGTTACTTTCAGTATTTTTATTTCTACTAAAGGCTTAATAATTCTTTCTTTCTTCATCATTAGAATACTAATGTTAATCTATGACTATGAATCCCTATTCTGATAATTGTTTTTAGTATCAATCAATAATTTGAAATATAAACCTTGGTTTATTATTATAATATTAATTACAACTAAATAAATCCAACATTACGGCGAACATAAATTAAGTATAAAATATGTTCTCTTGGTTCTTTGATGCTTATCAATGAAGGAGGAAAAAAACAAATCAATTCTATAGAAAGCTTTGGATATAACGGTGAAAATAAATGAAAGTCAATATTGGTCATGGTACCATGAAAAGTAACTAGCTAAGGTCTAATTATTATTTCCCGCAACAGCTACTCAGTCAACCTGAATGTACTTTCTTTATTTTAAAATCTCGCTTCACGGTATTATTTTGTTAGTATATCATAGGGTAAAAGGAACAATTTGGTAGTGTACAAAATAACAGTAGAACTTAAACCAATTTACCAACTATAATAAGTTTTTTTTAATTGTCAATTTCGATACATAAATTAGACGTCATACTAATTATACAGCGATAATAATAACGAACTTGTTAACGAACTGGTGATTGTAAATTACCGAAAAATAGAGTACATTTGAAGGAATTATTACCTATTTCTATTCAGGACACAGCCATATTGATTCTTATTAATTACAGATAGTTTAGATGAAATGAATAATAAAATAATTAAGATATAATGAGCTGCTATTTATTGCAGACGTTTTAGATAAGTTCGAGCCCGTAAGATTTCGATACATAACGAAGATATTCGATCAACTTAAAAAAATAGCCTTATTTATTTATAAGTTATAAAACAATATTCATGCTTAAAAATACAAGAAAATATAATATTACAAACACTACACTTATATATATAATTTATATAGAAACATACTATTTACGTAATTAAAATAAATAGTAAACGAAAACACATAAAACTAATAGGTAAACCCACCAGAAATCAAATGCAATATTAAAATTAACCTAAATAAAAAGTTAAAACCTAAACGTTTAAGAACATATTAAACCTGACCATTATATGATGTCCATATCATGTATATATATAATTGTATTATCGTTAAATACATTTTATACTCTTGGTAATATAAGACAAATCAAGAGTAATAAATAATATTTTTATCAAATACTTTATAGTGTTTGAAGACGGTTCAATTTTTAAAACTTTTCTTTACTTACATATTCTATAAATCCACGTTCTAAGTGTTTTGTAGCAATCCTACTTCGCCAAAAAAACGAAACAGCTAGTTATGTAAATTGCAAAAAAGTTCACGCCTATTTCCGTTCAAGAAGTTCTATAAAACATAAATTTAGTTTTAACCGCAACAAAACAAAAAAAAACGTTTTTTCTAATACAAAATATAAAAACCTAATTTACTTGTCATACACAGATCAAACATCTTGAAAACATCCCGGAATAACAATGATAATGAGCATGGCAAGTTCAATGTCACGATGGTAATAATGCGGTTAGCGAATCTTACGTACGCGTCCGACAAAGGGTTATCAGATACGTTTTTTCATAACTAAGGAATTTGTCAGAGCAGTGTTGGCCTAGTGGCTTCAGCGTGCGACTCTCATACCTGAGGTCGTAGGTTCGATCCCCGGCTGTGCACTAATGGACTTTCTTTCTGTGGGCGCATTTAACATTCGCTCGAACGGTGAAGGAAAACATCGTGAGGAAACCGACATGTCTAAGACCCAAAAGTCGACGGCGTGTGTCAGGCACTGGAGGCTGATCACCTACTTGCCTATTAGATTTAAAAAATGATCATGAAACATATTCAGAAATCTGAGGCCAAGACCTAAAGAGGTTGTGAGGTGTCATTCCTTGAGCTATGTCAACCCACAGACCTAAGGGGCAAGAATGAAGACTATAAAATAAGAGTTTAATCTATAACTAGACACGCTGTTGACTCTAGACCTCAAGCGATCGCAAACCGTTACTTCGAAAATGCACTCTAGTCTCTAGAGGTGCATTGCCTATGCAGTGATATCGCGTTTAGAAGCCCATAGGATCACCTTGATCCTATGGGCTGATGGATGTTAAACCTTTATGAACAATTGTAAAATTCGAAAGCGACCCCGAAAGCCTTCACAAAGCGCACGCGTACGACTAGGTTTCGTAGTGTCTTTGGTCGAATTGTTGTTAAAAATTTTATTCAAAAGAAGTTAATAAATTATATAATTATTTAGAAAGAAAGAAAGAAAAAACTTTACTATACACAATATACAGGATATATATATATATGAAGTAAAGCGCAGCCAGTAGGGGCCAGCCCCACACTAGGATTCCCTGAGCCAGTCTCTTCCTTTTGATATGTAAACAGTACTTTATAAATTATATTAATGATTTCTACCTGTTTATATTTAAAGTATATTTGCATAATAAGAATATTTTCAGTATCAGCATATGACAGGTTAACAAGATATTGCTTGAGTATGTAATGTGATTTTTGGAATGTTAGTGATAATTTAGTTTTTAAGGAAGCGGTTAAAGATTAAAGGGCCTCGGAAGGAGAAAAAGCAAAGCAAAGAAAGCGCGATTTTTGGGTTGCTTAGATAGGTTTGCGTTTTTTTATTTGCAATAGTTTAACTGTAAAGTAAAATGCCATATAATACATCTGATTAAAACTCCTCCTTATTATATTAAAAGAATTCTAAAGTTTATGTCAATTATTACCTTAATCGCGTTCAAAAAGTGCATGAATACACCCGCTAGTTCTGGCAACCCTAACATAGAGATTAAGATGAGCACACGATCGATTCATTCCTACTAATTATTCAAGCCATTAAATACAAGATAATACGTAGTCACGACATCTATGGTTATTAAGAAAAGCAATCTTTTGTTTTGCAATAACAATTATATTAGTAATTGAAGTTTTCCTGCTACGCTTCAATGGACTTTTCAGTATAAGATTTCATTCTGTTGATAAGTGATACCGATAGATAGCAGACTTGTGTTCGTAATTCGGAATTCAAATTCGGAACCATATAAATAAGAACGGTATACTTATTGTTGTCTTATTAATGGTAACTATGTGAGGTCTTGTTAAAAAAGTGTATTATGTGCTTATAATGATTATATTTATCATATTTATTATGATGAATATATATATAAACAATTTGTTCATACGAACTTTGGATCTAAGTCAATAATTTGAGTAAAAACACCGTTTTTTTTAAACTGTCCGATTATGTGTTAAGTGTTTGACGAATTTCAAAGTGCAATATGTAAATTAGTAAAAACCCATAATCATTGTTGCAATTGAGGTCTTTGACCTGTAACTAAGATAATGCATTGTCGACTAGTCGATATTGTCTGCAATTTTGTATGAAATGGTGTCGACTTTAACGATATATTCTAATCCTTATATTTGTCTTTAATTGTAACTTAACTTATGTATTACCTGTATATAACTAAACACGTGTTACCGACTAATTCAATTCAATTCAGATTCAATTCAATTCGCATGTATATTTTTATATGGCTGTGTGTGCGGTTTGAAGTGAAATTTTTTGAGGCGCATGAGGGTAAATATTTTACGGAACTTCACGAAGATGTGCATTTTTGTCGAAGAAAAGGGAGAGAGCGATTGAGACTGATTGAGAGTGAGAAGGGTGAATTACCTTGTAGAAATTCTATTTTCAAAATTAAAATTTCCTAAAGAGAATTTATTAAATAATAGTATTTTATTAATCAAAATTATTTATTGAAATCTTAAATGACGGTTGTAAATTAAAATGCCACGTGTTTTTATTATCGAAGAAATAAATAAATTAATTTTCGACACTTTTAATATTTTAATGACAATTCGGGTGATCCAAAAACACCATATTAAAGTCTGGATGTCTATACCTTCTAGTTACAGAATATCGGGGCTGATAAATTGACAAATTGCAATAAACATTCACTACTTGTTCTGATTCAAGTTCACTGTTTTACTTTCTTAAAAGACCGTTTTTCACGTAATCAGGGCCTATCCATTTTTAAAATGATCCTTGCTGCGGGCAGCTGTAAAAAGCTTTCATTATTCTTATTACTTAATATTTCATAACGGCCAGTGATCGTTAAAAAACGAATTAACCGGTTAAGTGTAAACCGTTATCCTAAAAAACGCAGACGTTTTAAAACCGCACATCAAGACCAACCACGGTTGACACAGATGTTTGATTGTATAATTATAGTTTTTATTAAAATAATACCTGAATTCTTTTCATAAATCCGTATTTGTTGGATATTATAAATGGTAATGGACTAATTCTACGAGTGTTATATAAATAACGCGAGCTTAAGAATGTACTCTTAATGTATAAAAGTCAGTGATTTTACATTTTGTCTTTATTCTGAGCGCAGGTGTATTGTGTTAATTTGGCGTGAAGTATTTTAAATAAATGGTGTATTAGGATTTGTGAACTTTGTGCTCAATTAGTGTAAAATGTCTCGGAGATACCAAAACAGGATGTGCGGTCAGCTTTTGAGTCAATATGGTAAAGTATTTTTAATGTTTTGTTTAGTAACAATGTAAAAAAAAGCCTGAAAATTACTTTATTATACGAAATTATGTTTTTATTAATTTATTTGGAGAATTAAGATCTGTTTCACAATGTATGGATAAAGTACTAAATAGCTATGCAACACATAAATTATTTGGAAGATAAATTGTGCTATTTGACACTTCATCGGTCTCATACCTTTTGATGGACTTTATGTGACGAATAGCGCTATCTGACAGTCGTGAAACGCAACAATAGTGTTTATCCTACCAATAAGTAATAAATAGCTAATTTGGAACTTATGTAGAACTTATCCGTACATTGTGAAACAGACCCTAAATGTAACGTGTCGAGTAAATTATATTTTTAAGTAATAATGTTTAAATGAATAAGTAAACTTATTAAGCCGTATATATTGTACGATAAATTTAAATATCACCAATTTAAGAAGGTTTATAATGTATTTATTTACCAGCATACTTAGGCCAAATTTTAACTAAAAACTATAATACATTATTCAATTAAATTTGACTATTATACCAGAAACCTTTTGCGAAAGGTTAATCTTCTTAATAATACATTACATACAATATTACATTGTTAAATATGTTGCTTTACCCCTTCAATTCTCTTTAATCTGTCCCTAACAGTCTTGTGATATTAATCAGTTTCTACTTGTTATTATCGGCAAGAAGTATAATCGCAAGAATAATTTCTCCAGTTCTCCTTCCTTTTAAATAATATATTACAAACGCGGAAGAAGCATCTACGTTAGTTTAACTGTTGACAAAATTACGCAAATTATCGTGACAGTCAAATGATAAGTAAATTGATCACATTAGATGAATGCAACATTTATAAATCATAAGGTCGCGATGAACATGACAGATAATAAATAATATATAATTATAATAATAAAAGCCTTTTATTTCAGATACTTTACATTTAAATACATTTATATTTCTATCATCTCATTAAATTCTAGATATCTGTGTACCTTTTTCGGGCACTTCCTTTCACACACAATTCCTTTTATTCGACAAATTTATAAAAAAATAGTTACGTTCATCTAGACATAGCACATAGTGACTGCACACTCTAAATAATTATGTCAACTTTACGACCACGACAATTATAAGAGTTAGTAACTAAATCAGTTAACAAAGTGTTTTAAATTCTTACTTCTTCATCAGATTCCCACCTTCTAGACATTTATAAGGCTGAAATGGGTTACGGCGTAGAGCGTTTCTTCCTCCTGGCTTACTGCTTGGCCTGTTGCTGGCCAGGTCTTGGTGCCAAGACAGGACTTAGGATAGTTAGACAATGGGCGGAATTGGACTTTGTATTTCCCAGTGAAACTGTGCAGCAGATTGCTATAGAAAGACAGTATTATATAAAAGGAAACTCCGTTCCATTAGATGTAGACGTTCAGCATAAGAAAGGTTAGTTTTTATTTATTAATCTATCGTTGGCTATATAATTTACGTTACCATGTACTTATATCGCCTTTGGTGCGATTCCTGGGGAAACAATATTAATTTTGGTTGATAGACACAGAGGGCTGACCTAATTAGGTTCTTAAAAAAAAAAAAAAAAAAAAAACAAAAAAAAAAAAAAAAAAAAAAAAAAAAAAAAAAAAAAAAAAAAAAAAAAAAAAAAAAAAAAAAAAAAAAAAAAAAAAAAAAAAAAAAAAAAAAAAAAAAAAAAAAAAAAAAAAAAAAAAAAAAAAAAAAAAAAAAAAAAAAAAAAAAAAAAAAAAAAAAAAAAAAAAAAAAAAAAAAAAAAAAAAAAAAAAAAAAAAAAAAAAAAAAATTTTTTTTTTTTTTTTTTTTATTTTTTTTTTAAAAAAAAAAAAAAAAAAAAAAAAAAAAAAAAAAAAAATTTTTTCCCTTTTTTTCCAAAAAAACAAAACCCCCCCCCCCCCCCCCCCCACCCCCCAAAAAAAAAAAAAAAAAAAAAATAAAAAAAAAAAAAAAAAAAAAAAACAAAAAAAAAAAAAAAAAAAAAAAAAAAAAAAAAAAAAAAAACATAAAAAAATAAGCAATTACTAAAGAAGACCAAAGATAAGCGTAACGTGTTACGATTTAAGACATGGTTTTGGCTTACACAATTGGCTATTGTGTGGTTTAATATATGATATTTGTAGGTCCAGAAAAGTCCAGAATATTCGTAACCATACCTCGTTTCGATACGGGACGTCCAATGACGTTCGGTACTGTGGAGGATGATAGCCGCATTCGTGCCTATCCCGACTACTCTTGGCACGACAATCAGGGCCTCAATTGTGATGGAATGACTTCTGTTTTTCGAGTCGCTGTAAGTGAATTTATTATTGCATTTTACTCATATTACGCGATAAAGTTGCCATGGAAACGGGAATGTAATTCCATGATTTACTATCCGTATCACCTCGACGTCCGTCGTTCCACAACTGAGCGATTTTTAAGGCAGTTTTCGCCACCACCACTGTGTGGAACCAGCTGCCGACTGAAGTATTTCAAAACCAATTCAAAACGAGCGTACGTCTTAAAAGGCCGGCAACGCACTTGCTAGCCTACTGACAATGTGAGTGTCCATGGGCGGTATCACTTAGCGTCAGGTTACGCCTGCCCATTTGCTTTTGCATATGTTAAAAAAGTTACATTAATCTGACACATGATACATGATAGAAATAATAGCAACAAAATCGTGTTAATTTAATTCGTGTTATTCAACATAATTTTTAAAATCAGTTCAGTAAGAGAATTACCCACATATTATCTTCCGAACGGGAATAATTATTCTCGGGAATCAATTCATCGATGTAAAAATTGAATAAGCCAATAAAGTATACATTTATATATGCACTAACATAGTGGGCTAATTATTAAAACTCCACGCATTCATTAGGCGTAATAAAGATTAACAAAAATACATTACTATTCATTTAAATAGGCAATAACCGTTGCTCACGACTGTTAAACGTAAAGTCGTTTAAGATAACCTAAATTTTCTCGCCTAATTGGTTTTTCATTTTTTCTGATAAGTTTTTGCGTAGGCTGGACTTTTAATTAAAAAACAAGACATTCTTATTTTAAAACTTTGACCTTGTGTGTTTATAACTTTGAAAGTAGTTTGAAAGTTTTTTTAATTTCCTAGTCAGCCTGATACTATCTTAGCTAAATACCAATGACTACATTGTCTCTAGAATATACCGGTAATTATACATGTGATTAGCATATTTATTATACGACTCAAGTGGCTTATGTTAAGACCGATAAAAGTAAAGCTTGCGTTTACCCATAACATTACAGTAATAAAAAAAGAAGTCTACGCAAGTAGACTAAATTCGATAGGATCGGACCGAAGTATGTAATAACTATTTAAGTGATAATAATAATAAATAAAATGTGTTTATTCGTTTTAAGTTTTTTTTTTTTAAAGACAATTCACACCAATTGACCTAGTCCCATGCTAAGCTGGTGAAGCTTGTGTTATGGGTACTAGGGACACATAAATACATATTTAAACACCCAAGACCTAAGCACAACACCAAATGCTCCATCACATCGATGTTCGTCTCAGCCGGGGATCGAACCCGGGACCCATGGATTCGCAGTCAGGGGTACCAACCACTAGACCAATAAGTCGTCAAGTACATAATATACTTTACGATAGTTAAATTTAGTGACCCTTTTAAGTAAAAGATACCGGTACAAATTTAACAGTTCAAATTGTATAATATTAAAATTTTACAAATTGTTTTTTTTTTTTTTTTTTTACACGCCGCATCGACATAAGATCTCTCCTTGAGCTTAGGATCGACTGACTCGCGAGCAACTACTGTTCACGCTAGACCCTTCTCCACGTCAGTCCTCCAGGGCCTCGCTGGAGTATTTAATCCAACTTCAACAAATGTTACATCTTTTTTCACTTTCCAAACTCACTATTTATAAATTTAACATTTATGACCATAGTAACTAGAATTGTTTCGAGGCAAGTCAAGTCAAAATCATTTATTCATAAAGGTAACACAATGTACACAACGTTTGTAAGGAGCTGCAACCATTACACCATGAACCACATCACATCTTAAGTAATAAATAATAATGAAATAAATTAAAAACAAAGATTTGTCCTCTATCAGCAGGAGGCATGGTGAAATAGGTGCACGTACTTACATTATCTTGGGAACAACACGCAAATACATAGTCGAAATAACTAACATATCATAACAACTCGGAAGGAAGCCTTATGCAGAGGCTCCATTCATCCAAAATTCCCACTTTTAGGAAATTCCCACTTCCGAGACATACCACGCACCACGCTCTAATAATATTGTAAAGGATTACTAAGTTTTTAAGTCACTTATAAATATTGTCTTTATAGATAGACAAATGCCAGCGACTGTGGGTAATGGACTCAGGGAAGATAGGGGATGCGCAGGTGTGTCAACCTCAACTCCTTGCATTCAACCTTCATAATGACCAGCTGATATACCGTCACCGTGTAAATGCGTCAAGCTATATTGCCTCATCACTATTCATAACACCTGTAAGTACTTCACAAGCTTTGGGTTTATATTACGCTTTTAAATGATTGGATGTACTATTTAGTAGATTGCCTTTGCAATAAATATGTCCAAGTTAAAAAAAAATATTCACTTCTTCAAGTGTTGTAGCGGAGATTCTTGGACATGAATTGAAAGTAAAATGATATCCTTTCGTATTTTTGACCATACGAAGTATGTTTTAAGTTATTAAAGGTCCTTTATTTCTGATATAAGAAATTATATTTTTATTTCTATTCATTGATTCAGTATTAGTAAACTTAGAAGTCCTAATAGTTTATAATGTAAAACTCCATTAACTGACGAATATATTAAATTTACATAAAATGACGTTACGAAGGATTTTCTTTTTGTCTTATGTTGCATTTAAAACTTGTTTAAACTAAATGCAGTTTTTAGTAACCTTCACAATTATTCCAGATATATTAGATTTATATTAGATCATATACAAAACAAATACTACAGGAATTATCTGTATGAACGTAGCCATTTTTGTGTTATTAGAAAAGCAAATCCTATATCTCACTTACAGGTAGTGGACATAAAGGGGCGCGGTCCAAATGACTGCTCTGACACATTTGTGTACGTGGCCGACGTGTCTGGCTTCGGAATTCTGGTCGTTGATGTCGACAGAGACCGATCGTGGAGAATCTCACATCGTCACTTTTTCCCTTATCCATCGCACGGATCGTTCAGTATTGACGGTAATATATACTTCATTCTCTTTCGTAGAACATAATAATAGCCATCCTAAACTCTTTTTTAGCGACACCTAAAATCTGACTACAAATCCGCGATGAAGTCAATCACCCTCAATCCACCTTCCTGAAGATATTCCGACTGCTTAACTTACATACAACTTTTCAACCTGAGCCTCTAGGGCCTTTGGGCCACCCAGTCAGGGGTTAGACTGGTCAAAGATCAGATCCTTTCGGTCCGTGAATGCGCACCACAGCTTTCACCACACATTTATTCCAAAACACATCGAGTATAAATATAGAAGTAGAAGTATAGAAGTAACAGATGGGAAATTCTGAAGGCCTGTAAGAATATTATCGGGGTAATTCTTGAAAATGAAAAAAAATAAATAATGTAAAAACTCTATGAAAAATGCGAGAAAAGACTCTCGGTCGAATAGGAATAATCTATAGTACTTCCATATTATATATAGTAAATCTTTAATTTGGCATAGGAAAATGTCAAATAATAAATATGTGTACTTTTCAGGTGAGACCTTTGACTTGATGGATGGGGTATTTGGCTTCGCGTTATCCCCTCGTCTAGCAGATGGATATCGATTCCTCTACTTCCACGCGCTTGCGTCGGTAAAAGAAAATGTTGTGCGGACCAGTGTGCTTCAGAACGATTCTTTCATCCATGATCCAAATGCTGACCCAAACTCTGTTAGCGTAAGTTTTGCGAAATAATATTTAATTTTGACACTATAAATTTTGACACTATTAATTTTGACACTATTTATTTTGACACTATTTATTTTGATACTATTCATTTTGACACTATTCACTTTTACAGTCAGTGGGTAAATAATTGCAGTTTCGAAATAAGTTTACCCTTGTAACTTTAGAGACACTTCCAATTAAAAAGTCTATAAATTTCAGGTATTTGCAGAAGAAAGACCAAATCAATCAGCAGCTGAAGCGATGAATAAGGATGGTATTTTGTTCTTCGGTTTAATGGAACCTCCGGGCATATGGTGCTGGAATTCAGCTACAGAATACTCAACGAGTAATTTCCATCAAATCGCCATCAATAGAGAGACACTACAGTTTGCAAGTGGTGTTAAAATCGTAACTAACATCAAAGGCGAAGAAGAACTTTGGGTTTTAACCTCAAGCTTCCAAAGAGTCATGACCGGAACTTTAAGTTCTGATAGAATTAACTACAGAATACACGCTGAGAAGATCCCAAATTTATTACAGAACTCGCCATGCGTGATGACCCCAAAGGACCGCGCGGTGGGTCATCATGCCAATCTGATCACACCAGACAAACCGAGACATTTTTACAAGTATGGGGCTGTAGCATTTCTTTAGAAATCCAGGCTATGTCTCATAAAATGCGAGAAGAATTTGTATTAAATCTCAACTAGCCATACCTACTTGCCCAATATTGAGTATTAAAATAGCTATAGCATTAATTTATAAATACCATTTATTTGAAATATTAAACAGCCTGTTTTATAAGATCTGTATACATTTGCACCTTCCTTGAGATGCTCATATCAATGTGTTTGTCTTCTATACCGACTATCAAGCCGCCAATAATTGAAGAATCAACTTTTTCCGTCAGTGTAATATTCTTGCCCTTCACAAATTTCTTCAAAGCTTCCATCAAAGTTTTGCGTGTTGAGTCGTCAAGGGGCTTAGCAGTAATCACTTCACATAGCGCTTCATTGCGATGTGCCACCATGACCGTAGAAAATAAAGTTATCATTCGTCTAAGCAATTTCAAACGCCCGTTCTCGGCGACGACAAATAAGAAATTAATAGCTGCAGGCGGCATACCTGTGAAGTTTAAAGTAAATTAGAATAACTAGAATAAATTTATTATTATATGAAATTTAAAAGAACAAAGGACCTGCTTTTTCGCCAACATCTTTCATTAACTTCGCTTTGTCACCTGCAGATATCATACTAGATTCTATAAAATCTATTATCGTTGGCTTCACCAGTTCTTTTTGTAAGGCTTGCAAATGTTTTTCTACTTGCTCCATTTGTTTCATTTGTAATGCTGCACTATATAGCGCACTTACATAGCGTCCTTCAATACCTTTAAAAGTACATTTTGTGGAGAATTCTTGTCAGAAAACCTTAATTCTATAAATTCTGAACTATTTCACTAAATGATTTTTAGCCAGTAAGGATTAAGAATCTTACCGAAAATTGCTATAGGAGGCGGTGTTGATTTCGCCACTTTACACATATTTCTAAAGAGCGGTAAACGAAATGAAGAGTATTGCATTTTTCAATTAGTTTTTATATAAGACGTGAGACATATGATGGCAAAACAAATGTCAAAATATGTAGTCGTTTAATTTGCAGCAAAAAGGACATATACCTCTGCCATCTTCATCGACAGCAAACATCGTATAAATTCGTACACGTAAGATAATATTTTATTTTATAAAGATATAATTGTACAGATTATCTAATCTAGTATGTCATATTGAAACGCTTGATCTGTCTCCAATAAGGCTCTTATATACATCACGAGGGATCCAAGGGCCATCGCTGATGTCAAGGAGTTGCAGGTGCCTCCTACTGACGTCGCTGCCTTTTTAATACGATATTCCTCCTGAAATACAATTTTTATGTATGAAATATAATATTATGAATTATAAATTTCTTATATGAAAAACTCGTTACTTCTCTGTCCTTTTTTGAGGACTTAGTTGTGGCATCTACGAAACCAGTAAGTCGTAGAAATGGTTGGCGTTCGTCAGCGAAGCAACCCCGAGGTTCTTGCCAGGACATTATTTTATTCATCCATCGAGGTTTTATGAATTCTCCATAACCTTGTGATGCGCAGTATAGAACTAAAATATTATATTACTATTAGTCTATCTTCATAAAAATGAACAGAATATAAATCCCGCAGCTACATATAAATATAATTATGATAACCTGAAATAGACTATTAAGAGAGATTATGAGTTAGCCGTATTTTAGTATGGCTATTATAGATATTATATTATTTGATCTTGTTGTACCTGCCAGAATTACATAAGCAAAGTTGAAATTTGCTAGGCATCATTCGAAAACATCTTAAACATATTCTGTATTTTTAGTTTTTATTAGTTTGGAAATCTTACAATATTGTGTCCTTAGTGATCCAAACCCTCATCTATATAATAAACAATACATAAATAAGCTATATGAAGAGCCTTATCACTTACTTTGTTGCATAAACAGAGTCCTCGTCCCTGGAGGGTGATCCCATGCTTCCAGCGACTTAGTTTCTTTATATATTTGAATACATAACTTATAGATATTTGCTGATATGTCAACTCCCTCCATGCATTCAAACATTCGTGCTAGAGCCATGGCTCTCACCCTACTCGTTTGTTGGAAAGCTAACGCCGATCCTTGCATTATTTGGATTTGACATTCCGTCGTCAGCTCACAGGCGCCCTCAGATTGTGTTGTTTGTGTCTCCATCGCGGATATTAATAATTGCATCGTACAGGCATCTTAAATGGGAGTAACAATTAAATATATTTGGTGATTTACAGTACTCCCAAAGTCATTTCCATTTTTTAATTTCCCAAGTCGTATTCCCAAAAACACCCGAATCAATGCACTTGCATTTTGCACCTCGTAAGAAAGAAATAGGAATTAATATTATGTGTATATAATCGAAATCAATTCGGGCGGTCGGCGGCGGCCGGTGAGTCCAAGGTATAAGGGAATACAACCACTGGCGAAGATCTGTATACGCATTATTCATTTGTTAAAGCAATATGCTTACGACAAAATACCAAACGCCTGCCACAAACTGCATAGCAAAACGTTAACAGGGGTGTATTCTAAAGCGGTAAAAAAATCAAGTTTAGTGTTGTCTAGTTTGCAATAAAAATGTGTATTAGAATAGTAATATATACCTTAGTTATATATTACTAGTAGTATTAGTATCCATATAAAAGAAAAACTTAAAAAGGAAGAAATGGAATAATAGTAGTACTTTTATTAATTAAAAAATAATTATGAAATTTACCAGCTGCTTTCCTGCTTGGCATTTTAGTTCTAGCTTCTTGAACGTATTGTTCAAAGTTAAATCGAAATGGCTTCTGCGTACCCATAGTTCCAATAGTCAAAGGCTCCATTACCGAAGAAAGAACATCGAGGTTTTCGTATATTGCTTTGGCAACTTAAATAAAAAAGATATGTAAACTGCATGTTTGTTTTGAAACAAATATAAAAGCATTATTTTTATATATAAATACTAGCTGACCCATAGCAAAGTAGGATTTCTAGGAAACATTTTTTTAGTTCAATAAAAATAACTATCTACTATGTATAATAAAAAGTAGGGGATGATCGTAGAGGGGTGAAGATTAGGGGTTGTATGTATTTTTGTATCCTGTATCATAAAAAAATAAAAAATAAATTGTCTAAAAAATAAAAGTAAAATGTTAGGGGTGGACAATCCTTATCACTTAGGGATATGAAAAATAGATAGTAGCCGATTCTCAGACCTACTGAATATGCATATAAAATTTTATAAAAATCGGTCAAGCCGTTTCGGAGGAGTATGGTAACTAACATTGTGATACGAGAATTTTATATATAAGATATTATATAATGCGTATAATGGCTGAAAGATTCTGGATGTAGTTGCAGATAAAAGTACAAACATTTTACGAATTATAATTAAATATCGATTACATATTACATTCATTTTTAAGTATAAAATGTTTACAAATGTTTGCCCGCGTAACCTGATGACGTCTAACGGACATCATAGTAATCAAATGCCAGCCATTTGAATAATGTATATAAGAAAAATTTTGCGCGGCGTCGGAACTCGCTCAACGAGTTGTGCGTTTGTTTTGTTTAAATGATGTTTAGTCTTTTAAGGTAGATGTCTCGGAGTACTGTTAAAGTACAAACATTTGTTGCTACTTTTCTATTACCATAAGTATTAGATTTGATGTATAGGTACAAAGGCTGCACTAAAAGTATCGGGAATGGAATAATACCACTGTTCCTGTCATATTGAAATCTTTTTAATAGAAAACTCCTTTTGTTTTTAAATCGAATACAATTTTTTTTTTAAAAGATTCTCGGTCTTTTCACAAAGTTTTGTCAAACTTGTTTAGTCGTTGAGAAAATGGAATTGACTCGAGAAAATTCAAGAGCGATGATTTATTATGACTTTCGAAGTGGTTTATCACAAAAACAGTGTTTTGACCGGATGATTTCTGCATTTGGTGATGAAGCCCCAACCAAAACCACAATTTATCGCTGGTTTGCTGAATTTCAACGCGGACGTGTCAAGCTCAGTGATGATCCCCGTCAAGGTCGTCCAAAAACTGCAGTCACCCAAGAAAACGTTGATGCTGTGCGTAAGCTGATTGAGGAAGATCGACATGTGACATACCGCGAAATTCAGACAACTTTAGACATTGGCATGAGTCAAATACAAATAATCTTGCATGAACAATTAGGTGTAAAAAAGTTGTTTTCGTTACTTGGTGCGTCAGAACTCTCAAAAGATTCCACGCAGGATCCTCAAATGCTGTATACAACATCGTACTAAAAAAAAAAAAAAAAAAAAAAAAAAAAAAAAAAAAAAAAAAAAAAAAAAAAAAAAAAAAAATTTATTTTTTAAAATTTTTTTTTTAAAAAAATTAAAAAAAAAAATAAAAAATTTTTTTTTTTTTTTTTTTTTTTTTTTTTTTTTTTTTTTTTATTTTTTTTTTTTTTTTTTTTTTTTTTTTTTTTTTTTTTTATTTTTTTAAAAATTTTTTTTAAATAAAAAAAAAAAAAAAAATTTTAAATTTTTTTTATAAAAAAATTTTTTTTTTTTTTTAAAAAAAAAAATTAATTTTTTTTTTTTTTTTTTTTTTTAAATTTTTTTTTTTTTTTTTTTTTTTTTTTTTTTTTTTTTTTTTTTTTTTTTTTTTTTTTTTTTTTTTTTTTTTTTTTTTTTTTTTTTTTTTTTTTTTTTTTTTTTTTTTATAGGTGACGAATCCTGGATGTACGCGTTCGAAAATGAGTTAAAGCCAATGAAAATTGTTCGTTCACGGAGTGTTGCAAAAAAAAATGGTGGCCACGTTTGTCTCCAAAACCGGCCATGTTGTGACTATTCCTCTTGAGGGACAAAGAACGGTTAATGCAGAATGGTATGCTAGCATTTGTTTGCCACAGGTCGTTTCTGAACTCCGTAAAGAGAACTACAACCGCCGCATCATCCTCCATCACGACAATGCGAGTTCTCACACCGCGCACAGAACAAAAGAGTTTTTAGGGCCGATTCGACCAAACAAGAGTAAATCTTAATCTTAGAATAAATCGTCAGTTAATCGAGAGTAAATCAATTTTACGTTTTACCAACTACAAATTCTAAGAATAGTGGTCTTATTCGGGAATAGCTACTATACCGCCGTTTCGCACGGAATAACAGCTATTCCTAGAATAATTTAATGGCGTCAGTCAGTCCAATCAGCTGATTTCTGTCATTTCACAAATATGTATTCTGTGTTTTAATTTCAAGTCAACGCAACGCACTAAATTAATAGTCTGGCATTGTATAATGAAACGTTTAAACAATTTATTATTTATTTTTAGATTTTTTATTTTCTATAATATTAGAATGAAATTCAACTAGGCTCAACAGAAGTTCCTTTTTAGACGAAAGCCTCAAACAAACAAGAAATAAAAACTTTTTGTTGTCGTTTGACACCTGTTAAAAGCTACTTTTTCACTCTATAATACGGCAAAATCGAGTTGACATGATGTATGCTCTTACACTGTCCCGTTGTAGAACAACATTTATTTGCCGAGTTTTATTTTCGTTCACCATTCTCTTGCTATTCGCGTATTGTTATTCCTAGCGCAATTATACTATCGATTACGTGGACAAACGACTATGGATTTACTCGAGATTAAAATCATGGAATAGATTATTCTTGGTATAGTTACTCGTGTATAAATTGAAGTTTGGTCGAATCGACCCTTAGAGCAAGAAAACATAACACAAATTATTAGACCATCCGCCGTACAGCCCTGACCTAAGCCCTAATGATTTCTATACTTTCCCTAAAATAAAGAATAAATTGCGTGGTCAGAGATTTTCATCACCTGAAGAAGCTGTGGACGCCTACAAAACGGCCATTTTGGAGACCCCAACTTCCGAATGGAATGGTTGCTTCAATGATTGGTTCCATCGTATAAAAAATGTGTCAAATTTCGCGGAGAATACTTCGAAAAGCAATAAATACATTTTTAAACAGTAATGTTGTGTCACTTCCTTGATTCCCGAAATTTTCAGTGCCGTCCTCGTATAATATTACAATACAGATCAACAAGAACTGTTAAATACTAGCTTGCAAATAGTAAAATATTTCACTTCAAATATATTAATTAAAGTTTCACCAACACATCACGAACGTAAAAGTTTGCTAAGTAATCGTGCGCAAGCATTGTAATCGTGTTATAAGAGGAATATAAAATGTAAATTTGGAAAGTCGACCTTGATCTAGTGTACGTTAGATTTGTTTTATTGTGTAGTAGTTTTATTTTAAAATTAATGATACGACTTGCATTTAATTAGGTCAAAGCAGATTTTTTATTTATATACAACTAAATTAATCAAAACTTTAATGGAATTCAGAAACTTGTCGACATTGTCCTGTCTGGGAAACTTAAAGAATCGTGACAGCATACAGTTAAGTTAGTAGGCTCGCGAGTGCGTTGTCGGCCTTTGTACGTCAAAATCCAAAGTCATATCGTGCTCCCTGTCGTTTCTGAATTTTACCCCAAGAGTCAATAGCTAAAAGTCTTTTAGCTAACACATATCAATTTGTTATTTCGTATAGATTGTTATCTTATTGTCAACTGAACAATAGACCTTATTTAGTTTGACCTTATTACATTTATCTATTTGCAAGATACAATTAATAGATAGTCGAGACTAAAAGTTGCGGGAATGTTTTTGTCTAGTACATAACTAAAAGTTAACTAACAGGTAGAATAACGCCGGAACCCAATAACCTATCTCAGTCCATAATCCATATCTTGTGCCAATAATCAATCGACGGATTGTAATAGCTATCTGTCGATACAAGGTATCCATGGGAGATCGTTTCGGTGTCTGTGGATAGAACTTTGTATGAAAATGACAGTTGACGAAAGCTTTCAACAGCTTTCAACAGCTTACAACAAGATTTCAACAGTTTATTTTAACAGATTTTAACTTACACCAGTTTTTCAAATAATTAAAAAAACTGTTTGTTATGTTTTAAACATACACATGTATATTTTAATGTTATTTGTACGGTTTTATTTACTTCATTTGGTTTACATTGATTATCAAATATGAGTGAAAACTCGGTAAAATGGAACGACAAAAAGCATTTTATCCGTCGCCAAAAATGGATTGTCTTCGTAGGGTTTGGTCATTGGGATGCAGATAGGAGATCGATCGACTGTCACGGTCTGATCTCAGATTATTTTCAATCTAAGATTGTGGATTGATTTTTGGGTTCGGGCGTAAATGACTTAGAGACCATGCCGCTTACATGCATTTCGTACGCCTTAGCTAGCGACAGGCTTTGCAATCAGGAAAGACGTCAACCGTTCAATCGTTGGATGAAAAGCTTTTCAAATACATTAGACGCTATGCCACTCAATTATACAATAAGAACAACACAGTTGCTTAGATGTGTTACGTTACCAGAATGAGTTGCGTACACATTTTGCACTGAAATATTTAAGAACCGTTAATGCAATCGTTGCAATTTTTGCGAATATGTATGTTAGCATACGTAATAAAATATAATTAGCAATTGTTGGGACCTTCGTTTTATTAATATAAGCACTAAGGTTTATATAGGCTTTTGATTAATGTAAAATCAATTTTCTGCCATACTACGTAACGAAGTTGACCGTAAAATGAGGAACTATTAGAGAAAGTTGTTCTTAGAACTACCGCCTGCATTGCTGTACTGTATTTTACCCTATAGCTAATTACCCTTTTATAAACACTTTAAATACAGAAGAGAAACAAAAACAACATATTACAATTTACATCTAAAGAGATTTCAATATAAATTACGATTTTAAATTGTGTTTTAAAATAAATTTAGTTTACGTTGATAAGAATTTATAGTTGCTTGAAAGAGATCACTTCTTTTCTTTCACCTGTGATGTGATGTGTGACTTTAAATTTATAAGAAAATAAATAACTTTATAATTATTTGTATGAATTAATCGTTTTACAAACCATATTCATAATCCTTGCTCCTGTAAACTAGGGAACTAAAATCAGTTTGATTTTGCACACGGTCCATTTTTCTCGTGATATTTTTCAGGTTTTCCTTCAATTTTCCCGGAACGGACTTATCCAATTCGTTTATCGTGTATTCCAATTGACCTAAAACGTTACATAAACAAATTTCATACTACAAGTACATTAGAAATTTCATAACATTGACTGTAATTATCTCGATATACATTATGTACATTTATTCCTACATTGGACATAAATCTAGACTAGAAAACCGGGATAACAAGCTAATGGTAAATTCCTGGAAACTGTAGTAGTTATTGGCCTCCGAAATGAGAATCTTCCAGCGCTCCCTGTCGTGTGCTTCCTTTCGCCAATTCCTAGCTTTAGCAGGTACTCCTCCACTCTGTCCTTGGTAGACCTTCCTTCACTTTTTGGGTAACAGTTACAGTCAATAAAAATGCACATTATGATCTATGATTGTATAAAACTTAGTTATATCAAGACCGGCACTGAACGAAGGATTATATTGTAAGGCGTATTTCCTTCCGAGTTTTCTACTATTTTTAATAAAGTATTTTCCTTTAAGATTACAATATGTTGATTTTTTTTGCGCGGAGGTCATTATAACAAAATATTACATTATTAATAACCCTTAAAGTCGTAAATTTTACATTATATAGTTTAATCTTTTTCAATTAAGTAAATTAAGTTGAAACCCGAATTTGCACCTGACGTTAAATACTTTGCGTTAGACCAAACTTTTACAGAACTCTCAATAAATTGTGTACTATGTAATTTATGTTCATTAAACTTTGGTATAACGAATATTGTATTCGGTTGCATAATAATAACATTAAAAAAAATTATGAAATTTAAAAATCTTGGCGTGTCCTCGCTTGATATTACCTGGAGAGTATCAACTATGTACCCAGTACCACGCTTATAAATAAATAATTACCTCGAGCAGACCCAAGTGCGATATACCATTCTGGATCCTTTGACGGTTTTCTCTCATAATATTCGAGTAATTTGTCCAATGTAAGTGATATTCTATACACCTTTGGAATATTATATATAAAGTCTTGTGTATCAAAGTATGGGTATATACCATATATTCTTACTACGAACAAAAGTACGAGGCACTTCCGATACATTTTGAGTTGCAGTGTTAATTTTAGAATTTTATACGTTTATAGCCCACGCAAATCTCTATTAACCTACATGGCGGGTAGTGATTGGGTACAGTTATCGGTTATACACACAACATATATACAATTAGGTGAAATAAATTGAAACTAAACTTTGACTGCGATCTCTCTTACAATATTCTGAAATGATTGTGGCATTATTTTGGTATATAAATGAAATATTAGAGGTAGATTTTAGGTATACTAGTATTGTAAAGAGGATATATTTTTATATGATTGGTATGTTTTAAAAAGTATTTTACCAATAGACATTATCTCTGAGTTACATAAAATATATTTATTTCCAGAATATTCAAAAAATAATGTTCCGCCGTGTAAATCCGAACAGGCCTAGCGGTCTTAGATGTAATCAAATTAATATTGAAGAAAAATATTAATGTACTTATGTTTTCTGTTTCATATATATATTGATATCTATGCCTATTTGGCTTTGTATATTGCCTAAGTGTTTTGTTTCATAATATGTATGTTAGCTGTAGGAAATTACTAAAATAGGCTGTTACTAATAAATAAATAATAATATCAGGCATCAGGCATCAATATAAAAACAAAAAAAAACATTTATTTATATAGGTAATACAAAGTACACTTATGAACGTCAAAAGGCCTAGAACGGAAGAGAAGAACTGGCAATAAACTCTTCGCCACTCCACAACTATGTGTTAAGTATTTAAAGTGGCGACAAAAAGATTTTAATAATGACTATTGACCCATTATAATGCGAAGTGACTTCGAATGTTTCATGTGGTAACTTACCCAGGTCTGTGAGCAGCAGAGTGCCAGGAGTAGTCTAGTCCCACATACTCCAATGTCCTTCAGCGCCGAGTGCATAATTGTCTTTCCACGTTGGATAACAAAAAAACATACATATTTGATACATATTCACGGGTCAAAATACCATGGTCTAATAAAAATTATTGCGTTTTTGTGTTACTCTTTAAATCGTACCTCAAATCATCATTTAAGGCCATAAAATTGCTCTATTAAGCGGGCTAAAACATTAGCCCAGATTTCGAATGCTTAGATCGATCTTTATTTGTTATGGTTGGTGATTGTTTCATAATTGACATACAATTTACGAACAATTTATTTTTTATAACAATACACTTTGGAACTTAGTTGCTGTTGACAAAATGTATTGTTCGGGAGAATTAGGAATGATTAGGATAATAATAGTATACTAGTTTAGACCCCTTGTTTCTTGTATATTATGCACGACAAATCTAAAATGGTATAAATATTCAATAATTTTCATATAATGGTTGATGATTTTAATACAGATATTCCTTAACACTAAAGCTTTCATGGCGAGAAATGATATTGAAATTAAATGATTCCTATTTTATTTCAGGCATGACAAGAACCACCAAAAGTGTTTGTTGAATGTCAATCAGTGGGTAAAGATTCTAACCAGTGTAATTGTGAATAACGTGAATAGTAAAAATTTTAATGTTTGTTTTGTTTAATATTTGTTTGATCTCTACATGTATGTCATGTTTGCCTTTAAGTGCTCTTCACATTAAAAATTGTATCTTGTGGTTGTTTTACCAATGTATCAGTGTGCCGAGCGTTGGCAAGCTTTTTATCAATAAAAATTGATTTCATGCGTTTAATATTAGAGGTATAGAAATATTTTACGTAAAAGCCTTCTAAAACCATTCCCACATAGATAAGTTACACGTTACAGAATTTTGAAATGCGCACGCGTCTAGTCATGATCGCAGCTTAGATGGACGATCGCTTTCACAGACGTTGGTTCTTTTTAACAAAGAATATGTTATTTTAAATAATGGCGGTGTCCCATCAGTGGTTCATACAGTGGTCATCCCCATTGGTGTTCGCAGATATTAATACGCAATATAAAAATGTGAATCAATTTGACAAGCGCGATTTTAATACATATTCTTATAGAAATAATGAAAATTTAAGATCGCCGTACATATATAGGGAGCAGAAAAATTTGAAAAGAGGTAAGTTGTTTTATTATTTATTAAGGACTTTTTGGTCTAAGAACCAATAATGCCGGTTGATTAGATCTGCCTTTTAGAACTCCAATTAAAATTGATATTTATTGATTATTACTTATTTATCAAATCACATTTAATATTCAAACGCGTTTATTTATTAAAAAAAATATTAAATTTTTACGACTTTTAAAATAAAAAATATAAATAATATAATGATTTAAGCTAGTCTCTGATGTCTTGTCTTTGATTGTAACATAGCACCGATGTTCTTAATTAAGCAAATTAACTTTATCTGTCCGCTTATGCCGTAACCAAGCTTAAGCCAACCACTAGAAAACAAGAATTCTCGTTATAATTTTACGCTTGTTAAGTTATATTGAATAATAGTAATTATATATATTTATCACATGTTCACTCATAATTATGTAATTATATAATCAGTTTAATTCAAAGTGTAATAAATCACCTAACAAGGGCACGTGTTCAAATTTTTGAAACTCCATTGACAAAACACATCAATAGCGGTTTAATCATAATCGGTATCGAACCTGTCAAAATATGAAATATATTGCAGTACAAGTAATGCCTACTATCTTAGTTAATTATTTAAATAAGTTGTTATTTAAACCTACAGGGCAAAACGTCCAAGAATAAAACCGTAATAGTCCGTAAATATCCTGTCCCTCCAGAGGCACTTCGTCGCAACGTCCTAATTATTACAAACTTATTGCTTATATTTCATAAATTGTTACGAGTGATTTGGAGTATTAGCCAAGTGGCTTTAGCATGCGACTCATCCCTGGGCTTGTATGTTCGATCTATGTACCAATAGATTTTCAATGTGCGCGTTTAACACCCACTCGAACAGTGAAGTAAAACATCGTGAGGCAAGCCTAAGACCCAAAAAGTGGAAGGTGGCAGGCATAGAAGGCTGATCTTGTCTATTAGAAACAAAAACAAATGATTACGAAACAGATACACAAATCTGAGGCCCTGATCTAAAACACTTGTAGCTTCACTGGTTTTTCGGTGAGAAGTGAATTTTAAAATATTTCTTCTATAAGAACTTTCCTATGAATTAGGTGTGATGACAAGCAGTCATACACGCCTCATAATGTTGGAAATTGTCTATAACATAGAGTAGCATAAAACACATGATAAGCTTTCTAAATACATCAATGACGATACTTATTAGTATTAATATAGGTTTCAAATTCATCCGAGAAGGTGACTTATGCTATTCAACAATTGTGCTAATCGTTGGACGTTCTGTCGTGATCTACCAAGCAGACTTGCTTTAGATTTATATTGTTAGTGGAAGGATTTATTTATTTACAGCATACATAGTGGAATAAAAACTATTATACAAGATTTTTGTACTATTACCAGAAAACATTTTACTTTAGTCTTCTCTTAGTATTTTTTTAAATCACAGTATATTATCACCATAAGCTTCAAAAACAAGTCACTCTCCGGTGATGAGTCGAGAAAATAATATAAAGATAGGTTTAAGAATTTGTCAGTTTCAAGATTCGCTTGCCTTTCAAAATCTTATAAAGCTTTATTTTATACGTAATTATATTGTTGGGTAATATATAACTTTCAATAGTCTCTTCCGTAATTATATGATTGATAGCGACCTAGAAATTGAAGTACGTATTTCTATCGCCAGATGTGATGAAAAGGAATTGAATAAAAGATAAAATAAATCTTAGATCTTAGACGGACATAGATATTTCTTAAATTAATCGATGATTTTGTTAGTGATGCATAATCTGAATAATGCGTAATCATTTATTTAGAAAAGATATTATACTATAAATATTAAAGCTATTAGTAAAATAATATAAACATCAGATAAGGTACCGCATTAATACGACTTTTATGATAAATATGGTTTTGGACAGGACGCATGTAGTGAGAGTAGTTTTATTTTTAACAAATATTTCATTAAAAAAGTGATAGATTATAGATATAATGAAAATAAACTTATATTAAGCCTAAAAATATTATCCAAAAAAATCCTCGCTTACAAAAATATAAATGTCTGCTTGCGTGCTTTTCTGAGTTATCATGGTTGTTTAGATATCTGCCATCTTTTAGTTGTACCTAAAGGTGAAAAGTAAATATTAAAGCATTGTTCGTATTCTTATTTAGTTTCGAAGGAGAAAGGGTAAAGGTACTTAGATAATCCCTTCATATGGTCATGGTGAAAGTAACTGTAACTTAGACCAACGCGGAAGCTCCTTTAAAGACTAGATTATTTAATAGGAACGTAATCTTCAATTATTTACTGTGTACTTTGCTATTTTCACTAAATAAGACCCTGCTATGCCGTGATTTTGGTTTTATTTTGTTAAATGAGATTGAAAACCTTGATAAGAAAATCTGTTTCGCCCGTTTCTATTTATTGATTGCCATCTTAAGCAAGCCACTTGAGCTCATTGGTCAAGCATTGCTTGTTCAACTATAGATCATATGGCCTCGGGTTCATTTCACCAGTAAGGAAAAAATAATGAACTAAGTTTGGAAATTGGATGTGCTGATATGATGATGATTAGGATACTGCGGTTGTGTCGATAACCAATCCATCGTAGTATGTGATATTGAATACTTGAGCTATTGGGAAAGCATTTGCATTTGACTTTTGTGCGGCGCGATCTTAAGGTACATACATACATATACATTACATATTTGTAATATAAGATAAGATATTGAGAGAACTACATCGAAATTGCTTACGAAATTTTGGAAAACAATGGCGCTGTCACTATTGAAAGTTACCGAGTACGAGCACAGCCTTGCGCTGTGCGAGTTCGAAAAGTGAGTTACAGAATCGCAAGGCAGGTCTCAATACAGACATCCTGCCGTGGTCGACTCAGCTGGGAGAACATATTATTTTCTATCAAGTTAACTCTTTAATAATTGAAATGAAATGAAACGTTTATTTGCTAAGATAGTGGTACAATTAGATAGATTAATTATAAAAATCCGCACAATCAGCCATATATAAATAGGCATGCAAATGTCAATTAAATTTTTATAATGTCATATAATAAGAACATTAACATAATGTAATAATAATAAGTTAAGTTATTTAGAATTGGTGTCAAACTTATGGTCTAAAAACTCGCCCACGATATAAAGGCACCTTGCCGTTAAAAATTAAATCACCTTCCCCTTGAAAGAATTACAATTGTACTAATATATTCGTAATTTTATTTTAATAATATTTGCATTGTTGGTGAGTCGAATCGAATTTCAGGTCGAATTTCAATAATAATTGCGATTTTATCATCACATCTTGTCAATGCATTATAATACAAAGTAACGTTTAAGAATAACTTAACTCTCTACTTAATCCATTGTTATGTAAAAAAACTAAGCCCAGCACAAGTTAAATGTACCGTGTCAAGATTCGAAAGAGGTTAATTAGCCTACCATAATTGTTTTTTGTGGAACTTTCTCTCAAATCTCAATAATTGTGTTATTAAGTTCTTTTGAAAAAGTATATGCTAAAGCTCAAAATCTGTTTAAATAATAATAAAAACTTTATTTATGACAAAAGAGTTGTGACAGAATTCATATATCGCTAGTCCCCACACTAGGGAAACCCTGTGTTGTGGAAATTAAGAATGAGTGAATGAGTGTGTGAATGTGTGAATTGGTGTGTATGCGCATGTGTTTGAGAGTGTAGCTGAAAGTTTTTATGATCGTGCAGTGTCTGTGTTAGTTTTTGAAACCTCAAAGTCAAAGTCAAATCATTTATTTCAATTAGACCACCTAAAATGGCACTTTTAAACGTCAAACAAAATACAAAGAAGATTCTATTTGCCCCTTCCAAAAGGTAGTTTCGTGTGGAGAATGGGCAAGAAACTCCACACTTACTCTTTTAAAATAGGTTTACAATATTTTGTTTACATTTGTTAAATAATTATATGTGAAGACAATGTACTCTTAGAATATAAAGAAAAAGTCATACCAAGATATGTAGTAATGCCTCTGTAGATTCGAAATCCTATTTGGCTAGTGTAATTTCTATGAGACTTGCGAGTTTATATCTGGATAGTTTAACGATCTCAGAATCCATTGATTTGGAAATTTTATTAAAAAGGAAGGGGCCCCTAAATGCAAAGGAGCGTTGGCCAAACACAGTCCTTAGTTTTTGGGTTAGGAACACAAAACATCTGTTTTTAGATGTGTCCTGATTTGTGAGTCCATGGAATTTATGATATCTTGAACAGGTCGCAAAGATGTATAGCTTCCTTACTGAGAGGGTTTTTGTTTATAGGTGGAGTTTGACTGTGGGTGAGTTTGATATTGGAGAAGAATTTTGTAATAGCCTACACTTACGAGCGCACGAAGTAAAATATGACTACCGAAAAATGTGACATTTTTGAAAAACGAATAAACAAAGAAAACTGATAATAACCGAGTGTGTGAAAGACATATTTCTGCATCTATATCATTAATAAATGTTAAGGAAGAGCGTTGTGTGCCAACTCAGAATGATTATTGTTTTGCAGGGAATCGAACCTTAGAGCGATTGAAACATCACGTGCGCTTACCACACAGTAGAGTTTCAAACTTCGTTTCTCAATTTAAATATTATAAAGGCACAACTGAAATTTAACACTATCCAAAAGTTAAAATAACAGTTTTAATATTTTTAAACATGCCATTGTTCGTTTTGTTTAAAAAGATTCAATCTTTCAATTATTTTCTTTTAATTCGTATTAACGTTTCAGTAAGCGAAGTTATCGCCCGTAAAAATAAATTTTCTCTGTAATGGACGTTTTTGGACATGTTTTTAGTAAGTAGCCATTTTAAAATTACATTGATTACCAGTCATAATTCTCATATAAAAATGTATTTATATATTAAAAACTTCGTTGCACAAATCAGTACTGTATATAATAATTAAGCAGATTACTTTCGAGCGATCTCTTACAGGCAACCATTTAAGAAAAAATAAATTAAATAGAGTCCGCAAGAAGTGCAAAAACTACATAACATATATTATATTAAGATATAAAGAAGCAGAACAAGAGCAATAAGCAAAACAAATTAAATAATTAATGTCAAATAGATACCAATAAATTACACTCGAATATATATATATTTTAATTTTAAATTATTTTATTGCCGTTTTATAACGAAATTTATATCTACATAATTCATTCATAATGTTAATAAACGTTATTTGGATATTGAAAGTTAAAAGACATTTTGATCAACTTCCGACAGAGAGCATTGTTAAAAGAAGAAGCGGAGTGTCCGGCTTGGGATGGCTTTTGCTTGGTCCTTCCTGCTAGTATTGTTGGCAATCTGTCGCTTCCTCTTCAAGGTATGGAATCTGACACTGACGGTCTCTGGAATGCCTACAAGTGCTGCTGTGAGGCCGTCATGACTCAAAAAGAGATTACGGAACGTCAGCGTGAAAATGATTCAGACACTCCTCCAGAAAGGAGTCGTCGACCGGGGCAGTGACACCGTGTTTTGTCACGTCTGCCCTAAGAAAAAGTTTTTAATACTTGGGCAGAGAAGTCACGGTGTGTGACATTCATGTTTGGCATGGATAAAGATAGGGTTAAGCTATTACCTGTCTTCGCCCACTGGCGAGCTGAAGAGCATCCGTCAGATTTTAGTGGGTAATGTTGTTAAGTTTGAACTGAAGTCGGGACATACGTAACAGCATTTACTGACGTTAAAAAAAAAAAAGTTACCGTACCGAAGGCGAAGGCCCGAAGACGTCGGTTATCTTATAAATCATGGTCACGATGTAGTGCAGTCCGACCTCTTTCACAACAGTCATGTTAATATTTAGTTGTTACAATAATATACTTAGCAATAAACTTGCTACGTTTATATCGGTTTGATCAAAATCAAAGCCATTATCTATAGCTTAGGTAACAGTAATTTCGCTTTCTTGTAACACAACCGCACGATATAATCGTAATAATGAAAATATATACCTTTAGCCGTACCTATTTAATTTGAAAATTATATTATGAATCATATTCTATAATACATGTATCTCTTTCAAATCGTTAAGAATTTATTAAGGTTTTGATGTAATAATATGTATGTTATATCATTCCCATTTCACAAAGCCAAAATAACATCAAAAGGAATTTAAGAGAAACATTTTTATTTAAACTTTACAATTATTTACAGAGTTTTAAAGTTTACGATATACGCCATATTTGTTATGTATTTCGGTATAATTTGCACCAAAGTTACACATAAATATACCCAAAGATAACACAAATCGTTGCGTTCATACTTTCATATTTTAACATCTGTTAAATAGGTATTTAAATGCTTTATTTCAGAAAAATCGCGATACGCAGGCGTCACACTTTGGCTCGCCATGCTTGGACTGGCGAGCCCTCAATCGCTGCCAGCTGATTTAGACACACCCCCATTTAGTACTCTCTACAAGTGGAAATATGTGGACTTTGAGTTCCCTACTGAAGGGCATAGAAGGCAGGCAATATCGTCAGGGTATGTTTTAAATATATTACAATTATATATATACTTTTTTTATGCAATAGGAGGGAAACGGGCAGGAGGCTCATCTGATATTAAGTGATACCGCCGCCCATGGACACTACACTGCCAGAAGGCTCGCAAGTGTGTTGCCAGCCTTTTAAGAATTGGTACGCTCTTTTCTTGAAGGACCCTAAGTCGAATTAGTTCGGAAATACTTCAGTAGGCAGCTGGTTCCACATAGTGGTGGTTCGCGGCAAAAACTACCTTAGAAAACGCTATTGAGTATTGTAATATTGTTTATGTTTAGAGCCCTTTCTAGGCTTACTGACCTCAGTGATGTCACTATAAAGCCTAGGGATTAGCATGTAATTTCCTATAGCAATTTCGACAGAACTTCTTTCTTATCCGTGCGTTCCCAACGTTGCGACATCAGCGCTACGGATATTGAAAGAACTACATCGAACTTGCATACAAAGCCATCGGGTATGCTACCGTTATTGGAAGTTACAGAGTATGGGTTCAGGGCTGACTCAGTCAACTGAGTACCGCCTATTTACCCACGCATATTTTTTATTTTGATACCATTAATTCTAATCTACTTTTCGTACAACTGTCTTAGTTACTTCGTGTGTCCCCACACTAATTCTACTCAATATTCAAAGGCCCTTTCCAATCTTATTTATTCAGGGTAACTTAATGTATATTAATATTTAACTTAACTTTAACGCCTCCAGTTGAATTGTGCAAAACTTTGATCACCTTGGCTTCATTTTACCTATATCCGAGTTGGTAAATAATATTATATCCCCGCAATATGCTATAATGCGTGGGATTCACTTCAAGTAAACCCTGCTTAAACATGGACAACAATCACCAGTAATATAGTTGTTACAATATTGATATTTCTAGTTTTGAAAAGAAACAAATGATAATGCGTTTCAGAAAATTTATACCAGAGAACGTGCTACCTTTGGGCTTAGAGATTTGGGGTTCCCGAGTCTGGGTCACGATACCAAGCTGGAAGCAAGGAGTGCCTGCTACGCTGGCAACTGTGCCCCGCTCTGGAGGAGTTGTCTCTCCACGGCTTGTGCCATACCCTGACTGGAGCTACCACAGAGCTTTTAGTAAGTACGCTTCGAAAAATGTATTTATTAATAGTAGTCAATAATAATGAGAGATGAATATTTATCACACCGAAAGAACTACAATAGACATGTATGGCGAAGATATATAGTTTCTTTTCTTCAATCCGGCAACGCACTTGTGAGCCCTATATGAGTGAGGATCACTTAACATCAGTTGAGATAAAAACAACTCATACTTTGATGGGACGGATGTTCCACACGACCAGGGTTTATCGATAGCGGGTGCAGGTCTAACAGCTTTAATAGCTCGTCTGAGCTCACCATCAACTTTTAGCCTTAGAAAAATCATATTTTTTAAATTTTAGCACGTTTTTTTTCAATGACTTACTGGATAATCTACCACAATATAGATGAAGTAAATAACAACGTATTAACGAATTTACCATTTTTTTAACACAGCATACATATATTTTTTAATGCCTGTAAGTTTAGAACAGCCTCCTATAATAGTTTGCTATGACATTTTTAACAGGCGATCAGCTTACTATAAACGTTTTATATATGCCTATTTTTTTAAACAAGGCTACAGAGACCAAATCAAAGCTAAACTTTACCATATTTGTCAAAACGAACAGGAATCCTTGGAGTCGTTTTGGAAGTTATCGTATACATAGACACACAGATTGACACAAATTTAGTTCTATTGCTTACGCTTTGTCCATCGTGATTTTAAATTTTATATTACCAATTCTCGTGGGTTTGCTCGCTTACATGAAATAGTAAAACATAATAAACATTTTTAGTTTCAGATCAAGACCCATGCTCCGGACTGACATCAGTGTTTCGGATCAGTATAGACCAATGCGGTCGCTTATGGGTATTAGATTCCGGGCAAATAGATTCAACAGATTCTCCAAAACAAATCTGCCCTCCAACTATAGTTGTATTTGATTTAAACACGGATACTTTACTAGCCCGTTATACAATACCAGAAAAATATGTCCTCCAAGATTCTCTCTTCTCTAATATTATCGTGGATTCGCGCTCACCAGACTGTTCCGATTTACACGTCTATATCACAGATACTTGGAGATTTGGTCTATTAGTATTTCGAGAAAGAGATAGCGAATTCTGGAGATTTTCTCACCATCTCTTTTACCCGGACCCACTGGCTTCTAACTTCACTCTTCACGGTCTCAACTTCCAATGGTCGGACGGTATATTTGGCTTAGCCCTCACGCCAGTCAATTACTACAGCGAACGAATACTGTACTTCCACGCAATGTCCAGTTACAGAGAATTTTCCGTGAAAACATCTGTACTACGGGACTCTTCTCGTGTCAATAATAGTGCCACAGAATTTAATTTGGTAGGAGATAGCAGAGGTCTCTATGGACAATCTTCAGCGTCGGCAATAGATAAGAACGGTGTGATGTTCTACGGATTAGTTACCCGTGATAGTATAGGCTGTTGGGATACTAAGAAGCCTTATCATAAAAGTACAACTGGTGTGGTAGCCACAAATGCGGAGACTTTAATATTTCCAAACGATGTAAAAGTGGACCAGGAGGAGCGTCAGAGTGTCTGGGTCATATCAAATAAACTGCCGATGTTTCAAAACGCTCCCTTGGATTCAAATGATTACAACTATCGTATTATGTATGCAGATACAGGTGATGCTATAAGAGGAACAATTTGTGACCCAAACCTTGCTCCAGCACAAATACCATTCTTTCATTCTGGGCCAGTACTAAAATAGAATATATGAAATGAGATGTAATAAGTTTTTCATTAATTTCCTTTTTACAAATTTTGCTTACACAAACTAAATGGCACTGAATCACAATTGCTACTTACATAGAAAAGGCGTTATAGGAAATGTAGAAAATTTTCCATACCTTCTAATTTTAATTTCAGAAAATTCCTTTTACATATTTATTTTTAATTAATCCTGGCCTAAACAAATCCTTTCAAAAGCTTTTCAAGAATTTTATTTGTATTATTAATATAATTAATATTTGTATAAACAGATACTTAATACCTTTAATTGTCTTTGGTTATACTCACTGTCTAGGCCAATTATAAACAGACATCTTGCAACGCAAAAGTCCTGGGTCGCGACTCGCGAGTTACATAAACCATCATATTACGCATTAGACAGCAACTTATTATTCGAATTTTAAATTTTAATGCATTTCAACTTGTTCTAGTTGAAAACGCGCCAAACAACCGATATGCATAATTTAAGTTTGCGTAACACATTAATTTTTACCCGGGCGTAGGCACAACTTGCGAATATTGGCTTTAAAACGGTCGTGGATTATGTGTTCATCACCATGAAGGTAAGAAATACAATTCACTAAATATTTTGGCATTTTATAATTATTTAAATTTTAATAATATTTTAAATCAGGCATTTTGCAATATTAATTATATTCATTACGATTTAAATAAATATCGTGTATAGCAATGTAGCGTAAAACTTAGTTCAAAATAAATATAATAATAAACTTTAATAAAACCAACACGATATATAATAGAGATACTATATATATACATATCTATAATATCGATCTATAATAATTTTAAGTTTTAATCTACTAGATTAAGAAGCAGACAAAATTTTACGTCTGTACAGCACATTTTGTTAAAGATCCCCTCGGGAATTGCATACAGGACCTGCGAACGAAATTATACGGGAAAAGTATGACACTAATTAAGATTAGATGGCTGATAGTTGAGCCAATAGAGAATTTTAGGCCACAAATCATGAGATTAATCGAGAGCTTAAACTCGTTTATAAGGAAAATGTCTTTGCTTAATAGATAATAGGAAACATTATGTTGCAAACATTTCCACCTAGTTCTGCAAAGTAGAAAGGTAGGGTTAAAGACATGTTAAGTAATGTTAAAGTTAATATCGTAAATGAAATACAATATTATGGAGTTTACCCTAATACTACGCGAACATTGAAATAAAACTTCTATAGCGCGAATTTATTATCTTAGGTTGCTAGGTTTTATCTGGAGTACTGTACAATATTCTAAATGCGATTCGAATAAATATGCTTTTGAATTGGGCGCTTAACTACGATAAACTACATTTGAATATAGGGTATGCAGATAATTAATAATAATAATGCAGTGGCATACATCCCTTTACTTGGCCTCAGATTGCATTACATTATTTGACAAGTGGGTGATCACCCTTCTGTATGACACATGTCACGGTTTTTCTCACGATGCTTTTCTTCACTGTACGAGCGAGTGTTAGCTGCGCATATAGACAGAAAGTCCATTGGTGCACGGCCGGGTTCGAATCTACGAACGCAGAATCACAAGCTGAACCCACTAGGCCAATACTGCTTTTTTTGCGTATTATTCATTTATGATTTTTATTATCTGTGAATCGGTGTATGATAACGGTTATTTAAACAATCAATGTAGGAATTAAATTATTTAACCAGCTGCCACGGTCACGTGTACGTATCAAATTAAAAAAAAGATTGTGACTACGCTTTTCACTTTTTTATTGGATTTCCATAGAGTATCATTCTTTTTTGAATCTAGAATTATAGCATTTATGTCTCATAGTATTTTGAGTTATAAAACTATGAAGTAGGCATTATCGCATAAAATTGAATGGTAGCCATCTTAATTGAAGCAATGCTGCGTATGAGTCGGATAATAACATTAATTGAGGATACACACCAGTGTAATTTAAAGTAAATACGCTTTACTTGAATACAACGAAATTATAATTTTCGATTCTTAATAATTAATTGTATTCACACGGGTCTTCAAGGTTATTTTATATAGTTTTGTTAAGACTTTACTGTGTAAATAACGATGTAGTCTGTATCGTTATAGTATTTAATGTATTGAGGTCAGAAACTGTTTGCGATCAAGTTTTAAGACCATTCAACACTTTTGAAGGTTAAATTCTTAAGCTTCCAACCGCGGTAATATAACACTAGTCATAACCTTCGCTCGGATTTCCTTTAATAATAATAAATAAACAGTTTATTTGCAAAGAAAGTGGTTCATTAAAAAAACGCACAGAATCAGTCATATAAAAATAGACATGCAAATGTCATAATAATAAGAACCGTTAAGTTATAGGTATATAACTAGTGGACCCCACAGACGTTGTCCTGCATGATGTGATGTGTGTGTTGTGTGCAAAGTATGAAAGTACCGACTGCAGTGCCATCTGCCGGGCTGATTTGTGAATCTAAACCATTCCCAGATCCCCTTGAACACACACAAAAATCGGTCTGTTTCATCAAAATCGGTCCAGTCGTTTGAGAGAAGTTCAGTGACATACACACTCACAGAAGAATTATATATATAAAGATTGTCAAAATGTATGGTCTAAATCTCCTCAACTTCCCTTTTACACTATAAAGGCACCTTGTCTTTAAACATTGAATTACTTTCCTCTTGAAAACATTACACGGCAGTGATCTATAACTTCTGGGAAGGTGATTAAATAGTTTGATAACCTTAACAAAGTATTATTCCATTTCATTGTTTAAGTATACGAAGCAGGGTGTGATTTGTACTTATTATATTATTAAGCTATTTAACCCTTAAGTCGTGCGTATGAACTTAATAAAGAAATTAACTCATTAACAAAAGATAAAAATAAATATAATAAAAAGCATATAATGCGGGGTGTAAATTTGATCTTAAGCCGAATTTACATTACGAAACTAGTGTTATGCATGTTGGAATGAGTTTCATGAAAATAGTTGCAGCACGTGTGAAACTACTTTAACAAAAAATAATAGTGTCGTGAAATCAACAGTATCACCAACGACATGGCTCTGTCAACATCAAAGCTTCATTTTGCGATGCAGAACGTCGTGGTACAGATGTTAATATATAAAATTCGAAAATTATATTTTTATCAACTGACCAACGTTGGTTTGCCATTTTGGCGGTCATTTAGCTGCACGATGCACTCAAACACACACGTCTGCCCTGTGCAAATGCTTTCGCGACACTAGTTTCGTGTCGCGTTTTCATCGTGAAAGTAGTTGCGTGACATTAGTTTTACAAAAAATATGCGCATGGCACGAAATTTATCCAGTGTCGCGAAACCGATGCATGCATTATGAAACTGTAAATTTACACGTGAAATTGTTGATGAAATTTATGTCATAAAACTAATTCCGAGCCACTAGTTTCGTAATGTAAATTCGGCTTTACTGTGGACACTCGGGCAAGACTTGAGACCACAGCGCGGAGCAGTGAGAACATCCACATAGATGGCTGGAGCACTAATTTATTTACATATGAAACATAGACAAAACCGATAGACAAGTAAACTCGTCATGTTTTACACCTGTCACACATAAAATATTCATCACCTAATTGCCTAAAATGACACAGATAAAAATGCGCCTATTGTCCCATTTGAGGGTAACAGATCTTACATAATATTAAGAGGAAATAGTCTTAATGAATATTTATTTGCGTAACATTTGCTTTCTCCACTATATTACTCCCCCGTAGGCGGTGTCAAAAATAAGACCGTGTTACCGATATACACAGTTGAAGCTGGCCAATTTATATTAACTTCTAAGATTTCAAGACTTTATGAAATGATTTGAATTTTTCAGTTATTCAGTGCAGCAGTATTTTTTATTGGCATCCTCGATGTTCTTGCATCGCCCCAGAAATCTTTGGGAACATTGTACCGATGGAAACAAATGGGTTTTGTTTTTCCCACGCCTGAAGATAGAGATGCTGCGATTCAGAGCGGGTACTTACCACTATATACTAATAATAATTTATATGTAAATTTTATAATGTGATAAATTATTCCCACTAGAGATAAAAAAAAATACTTTAGTCTTTCGCTGACTATTGCTAAAAAATCTTCGAGACGTTGAATTATATTAACAATTCGCGTTTAAATACTATATTAAAACTTTTAATTTACAAACAAAAATTTCACAATACTATAGATAAATTTAAAATTATTTCGCGTACAGTCATGGTCACAAAAATAAAATTTTTTTGCATATTTGTAAACGGTGTTTAAAAACCGTAAATTTAATTAACTGTTATTGTAAAACGAGTCAAGTTTAAACAAGTTTCAATAAAAATTTGTTTTGATAATGTTTCTTTGTATTCTTAAAACGCTTATCGTTATTATCAAAATTAAAATATGCCTGCAAAAAGCAATAGATTAGAGATCACGTCAGTCTTACATTCCAAACCGGAAGGAGGACCACACCTATTCTGCATGCAATAGATATAATTAACATGTATAGATAATAATGAAAATGAAGGCAAAACGTAATTTATTTTAATTATTATCTAGTTAATAAAGTTATTCAATAGGTACTCGTAAATTAAAGTAATTGTCTGAAACCTTGTTACTTGAATTTCAGGGCGTATATACCAGCCAATGTAATTCCTCTGGGTGTGGAAAGATGGAAGAGCAGAGTATTTGTGAGCACTCCACGATGGAAGAAGGGAATTCCAGCGTCTCTAGCAGCTCTGCCTATCGAAGCCACGGAGGCCTCACCTCCACTCACTCCTTATCCTAGTTGGGATTGGCATACCGCAGGTAAACTTTTTTAATAGGGATATAAAAACGCTTTAATTATAATATCAGGCGTACATTCAGATTTTTGAAAGCAGTTAGAATACACTTTACTAGCGCCTGCCGGAAAATGTATAGAATGTGTAGAAGGTTTAGAACTTTTTGATGCTACCGGGAAGATCATTTTTACTCCTAGATCGTTTATGCACCTATTTGTATTTGTTTTTTTGTATAAATAATAGTAGTTAATAGGAAATCAAAGGTTTTTTTTTATATTTTATTAACGTACCTTAATACGCAATATAATTGTAAAATATTTAAATTTTCAGACAACTGTACCGGAATCACCTCCGTGTTTAGAATGGCCATCGATCATTGTGGCATAATGTGGGTGCTCGATTCTGGCCAAGTTGAAGCCTTCGAAACGCCTCGCCAAATATGTCCACCAACACTGATAGCAATCAATTTGGAGAAGGACTCAGTAGTTGGAAGATTTCAAATACCCGAACAATTCGTCCTGCAAGATTCGTTAATCACGAATATAATAGTAGATTCCAGAGATCCACAGTGTAGAGACTTACATGTGTACATTTCTGATGTAAGGCGTTTTGGCCTCATTGTATTTAGAGCGGCAGACGCAGCATTTTGGAGATTCAGCCACTACACTTTCTATCCTGATCCTATACTATCTAATTACACACTTCACGGGGTAAACTTCCAATGGACAGATGGTTTATTTGGTATGTCGTTGGGAAGTTATCATTTAGGCGATCGTCCTCTCTACTATCACTCTATGTCGAGTTCTCTAGAATTTGTGGTGTTAACCTCAGTAATACGTGATCCTTCACGCGTAAACGACTCTGTGGATGAATTCAAGCTGCTCGGTGAAAGCCGGGGCCCCACAGGACAAGTATCCGCCGCAGCTGTCGACCGCAACGGTATCATGTTCTTTAATCTTGTTTCGCAAGACAGTATCGGATGTTGGGACACACGCAAGCAATACAAGATTGAAAATTTAGGCATTGTGGCGAAAAATAATAAAACATTAGTATTTCCTAACGATCTTAGATTGGATCATGAGGTTCCACAGGTAGGATGGATTATATCTAATAGATTGCCGATGTACCAATTTAATTTGAACAATGCTAATGAATATAATTATAGAGTTATGTTTTTAGATCCACTTGCAGCAATTAAACACACCGTTTGTCAATATAACTAATTGAAATAGAATTTGCATTAAAGAAGCTTGTATTTAATTTCATATTTCGTCTTTATTACATTTTATATTAATTGTATTGTATTAATTAATTATCCATCTTGATGATTAGTGTCGGATCGAGATTGATTTTTACTTCGTTTACTTCGTAGTTGAATAAAATCTTCTTCTCTACGTTCTTCATGTATTTCAATGCTAGATTCTTTTTGTGAAACAACTTCACTACTCTCTGAATTATTTTTTAAATTATCTTGGTTCGGTCCTAGAGAGATATCCTTTGTAGATTTATTTGATGATAAACTTTCTGATCTCAAAGTAACGCTTTGATTATCACCTGGTTCTATTTGAGCTTCAGAATGTAAGCGCGTTAGGATATCAGATGGATTCTTCATAAATATATTTGGATAGTCCCGTAAATACGACGCAATTTTACCCTGACTATGACCAACTAATGATGGTGTTTCACCGTTATCCTGAGATATGGGATTATATTGTATATTGCTGGAATTGAACAATAGTGGCAATGAGCTTGAATTTAATAGTTTTGCTGCATCAACCTTATCTTTCGTTAAATAGACGCCAATACGTAATAGCATAATAACAAATTGTTCATGTATACGGTCAGTGTCCCTAGGGACAACTACCTCACTGTCAAACCAGTCCTCATACGTCCCTATATCTGATATTGTCCTGTTAGATGTAATTGATAAAGGTTGCAATATATCCGGAACGTTTATTTCCTCTGAACTCAAACTCGTCAAGTTTCCTGGAGAATCGTCTATTTTTTGTGACTTTGAACTAACTGTCGACAGTGGCCTATCGCTGTAACTATAAGGAAAATTATGATTTTTTAGTTAAAGTGTAAAACCTGTCCACTATAGTATGTTATGTCACTAACAAGTTGGCGATGAGTTTTTTCCGCACTTGATCTTCACCTTGCAAGGATTTTGTTCGACGCCTGCGCACAGCTAATTCAAGACCGCAGTCGTTATCATTTACAGGCAAATTTGTTGGAAATGACTTAAACGCTGCCGCCATTTTAAGTGTATGATAATAGCTAAAACATTAATTACTTGTACATAAAAAAATCTCACTCTGAAAAAGAAAAGTTAAGACGTTTTGTACCCAAAAACGAGTGTCCACATATAAAAAGCAGGCATTATTGTAAGTATCTTTAATACGAGGAATTTTATGCAGGGCGGCCTGGCAGGTCCCAGGAGTACGCATGTCCCCAGTCCCAGAGCTAGGCTTGTCAGCTCACAGAGCAGTTTCCTTATTGCTGCTAACAAAAGCCAAGGTAAAACTAGCGTTGGACGTTCTTCCTGTTTTCGAAAGTAATATTATTTTTGATTAAACTTAAAAATCTCTTTGATCTTATTAACTCTTGAAATAGTATGGAAATTGGCCTATCAACGCTAACTAAGCGATAAATTCACCAAATCCTTCTTGCCTTTTATTTATTAATGAACGTAGCTAATCGTCAAATAACTTAAAAAGGTTGAAGAATTAGTATACTGTATACATATAGGTGTCATTCTTTAAACAGGGTGTGCACATTCATTCTAATTATAGTATCTACTGATAATCTTAGCCTACTAGACGAAGTTAGTTGAATAACCTTAATTAATTGTAATAATAATAGTTTTGCTATCGCTTAACTGGAATACGTGAAACGTTAATTTACATTACATAACGTTACAACTTTATTGCGGTAAAGCAAATCGATAAGCTGCTAAACAAATTGCATGCAATATAAATAGGAACAGTAGATTAGCCTAGCAACAGAATCCGCTTGTGTAGATTATAAAATGGCGGATGACAAAAAAGCTGATTATTTCATTATAATATTGGTATTGCAATAAAGAGTAAACACATACCAAAAACACAGGATACAGAAGCACTATATAAGATGCTAGGTAAACGTACACGGTGAAACATTGAACCAGCATCACCCCAGAGACCATAGTACGTATAACACGCTGTATAGGCAGTGATAGCTCTGGTGGCATGGACATTTGCCATACCTGAATATATAGTTATCTATTTTAATTTACGCGAAATTGAGGCATAATTAATATGAGAGACCCAGGGAGCTTGAGGATAGAATATAAAACAAAAGACGAACGCGTTAGCAGCGTCTCTAGTTAATCATAGAGTTACGAATGGATCCGTCCTACCGTTTCAATCAGATTCAAGCATGACGTTCCGTCTTTCGATATACATTCCGATCCGCAAGGGTTCTGCCATTTTTTTTTCTAAATTTAATTAGTATAAGAGTTTTCTCCGTGACTATTTTAAAGACACGGAAAAATCTGGTTGATTATTTTAAAGCAAACTTAAGTTTTAGAAAAAGTAGCAGTACGTTGAGGCTTTAGTAACAAAATATCCGGTTTTTGAAGGTCAAAAAGCTTTATATGCTCGTAAAATATGTTTCTTAGTGGAACTAGTTTTAATATGAATTTTAAATCCTAAGGATACAGAAATTTCTAATTGGCATGACATGCAATACAATTATGTGAATCACGAAGGAAAAGAATCACCTCTAACATCGTTTTCTACAAGAATTTTAAAATGTAACATAACAGCTTTATAATATCATTTCTAGTCTATTTATGTAGAATCTTTCGTCGATGTGTTAATGAGGCACCTGTTTAAGATTAGCATTCACTTTGAAGAGTGTAGCATCGAATATTGTACGAATGAGGCCCAGCAAAGTCCAAAGGCATACTTCGGATTGAAGATTCATTCCAATATAGGATAATATATTCATTTTTGTAATTTTATTAACTCATTATAATTTTGTGTTTGTTTTGGTTTGGTTAAGTCAAATCTGATTGAGATTTGACATTGTCGTATGTCAAATTGTAAAATTTGTACGTTGTAAAATTTACTAAGAAACAGTATTTTTTATAGAAACTATCTTCTGACATAACTGACATATTTTTAATCTTTAGATACTAAAATATTAAGTTCTTTATTAAAAAAATCTTATTAGTTTCGCCTTAATATGTTTTTTTTACTTACATTTTAGTAGCTACATACCAACATATGGAGCATTTTGCCAATACTCGAATTAGTCAAGCCGTTGAGTTTTGCGCTTTGCAACATATATTGCGATTCATTTTTATTTATATAGTTATGAAACAAAGTCTCTGATTTATTGAATTTTTGTAGACATGCTGATTTCTCTACGATTTTTTCTATACAGTCCGATATTGATGGCTCACATATAAACATTTCGATTGGGCTACAATTAGGGTTCGAACGCACGGCGTTCAGGTTGAATACTTAACAACTGGTTAAAACTACAAACATTCGACTTACAGTCGATCTTAACTCGTCTATAACATTTATAAAATACATAAATAAAAGAATGCGGTTTCAAAACCAACTTTAATAATAAACGAACAGTTAAATAAATTATCATACAATAAAATAGAAATTTTGGTGCTTGCTATGGATTTGTCATCTCCAAGTATTCATTCATTAACGTAAATATAGACCAAGAGCCTAATAATAAAGTTTAATTTTCTCTAAAACATGTTACGTTCGTTTACGTACACTTCGTTAAACTAACGGGTAAATGATATATGAATTTTGGATTTTTTATATAACTTGACGTTTCACCTCAAATTTATATAAATCTTAATAGGAGAAGTACTTAAACCAGTGGCGTAACAATAGGGTGGCAGGGCTGGCAAAATGCCACGGGCCCCCGACCCAAGAGGGCCCCTGACTAAGAGATATTATGTTCTACGGATGAATGTGAAGTCTCCAAAACGCATTGGGCTAGCGTGGGGACTACAGACCATTCCCTCTCGTCTAAGAGAGGAGGCCTATGGCCATTAGTAGGACATATACAACGTGTAATTGAGTACGCTGAAAATCTCGAAGTTTATTCAAATTAAACTGACTACAACGTGACGATTTTTACTGATAGGGCCCCATCAAAATAATTTTCCAGCCCCAGATGGTATAGTTACGCCACTGACCTTAACCATTGAAAATTAGTGTGTATTGAAGAGAACTAAGTATTGGGGTATGTATAAAATTTAATTTTGTTTAATTATTCATCTCAAAGTTAAAACAAACATAACTAAATCTAAAGCTAAACTAAATCCAAATAAGTAAATCTGGTGGTGGAGTGCAACGAGACATATCGCTAATAAGCGATCTTTTCCAACTAACCCGTGCTTAAAGAGAGCTCTCAGCTTTCACTAAGTAACAGAGAAGTGCTAAAAAAGTTAAAAAAATATTATTTCGTAAATATATTTACCCTTTTTAGTAACCAAAATCTGGCCATGTATAGGTCTACCAGAATCTGATGGCAAAAAAAAAGTTTAAAAATTAGCGATTTTCATATGGCAATAAAAGAAAAATTTCATCTGTCAACTGAAATTTTGAGGAATTGTTTTTGGTTTGGCTTCAAATTTCCTTTAAAAAGTGATGAAAATGTCGAAGAAACCTCTTCAATCGCAAGCAAGACAAATTGTTTTCAATGTTTATCAAAGAATACTTGGTCAACAAGATGCAGAACATACACAATCATCGATATTGAGCCATGTGCAAGCGTTGACTGATTAGTAGGAGTGACACGTCTTGATACTTTGGTTTATGGGATTTTTCGTGTGTATTATATTATGTACTTATACTAAACTTTGGTTTATTTCAGGGGTTCTTCTTATACTACAAATAAACTTGGATAGGGTAACGGTTTTGAATACCATCGCACTTTTTTGACGATACTAATTATTTAGGAGTCTCGGAGGACCTTCATTGGAACACCTCCAAGTGAGTTTTGCTCCGGAAACGCGTCAAAAAAAACGCGTTTTTTTTTTTTTTTTTCACCTGGGGAAACCCGATTACGGGCCCCCGCGCCTGGGCAAGTGTGATTGGCGCGGGGGAGTGTGGGGATCAAGGTCGTAAAATGCGATGGTCCCCATACCCACTAAAACCACCAGGGCCCAATACATAGCCATAGCACGTGTAGAGCAGTAAACAAAAGCAAAATAAGCAATATAGCAAAATAAAAAATCGGTCAGTCAGTGTTTAATTTATAGACATATTTGACAGCTTTAATTAGCTCCAAAAATGGGTCTTTTTTATGTTTTGTATTGTTTCGCCGCCACAAATATTCATAGACATGATCTGAAAAATTTTCAGAGTTATTATAATTATCCTTTTTAAAAAATCTTTTTTACTGCCCTCCACTGTGACTCAATCCTTTGCGTATGGGTTCCATCTTCAGCCACAAACGGGTTTTCAGGGTCTGAATGATTCACTTTTTGATGTATGTACCCATGGTCTGCCAGACAATCGTATGCTTTCCAGAAGTCAGTATGAATGATAGTACCAACTTCAACATGTTTTTGAATGAGAGGAAGTAATATATCAGCTGATCGAATATTATTTGGGCACACTTCCAATCTTAGGTCTTCAGATTTGTCTTCGATCATACCAAGGACCCAATAGCCCTCAATATGTCGTCCTACAACAATTAAAGAATTAGTTAATAAGCTTAATGAGTTAAATAAATTTTGTAGATGTGATAATAATAGGGTTATTGGACAGCTCTGGTTTTTAAATTACACTCTAGGAGTAAAACAGACTAATAACACATATAGTAAATATTAATTAATAGTGCTATAAAATAATTACCTCGATTATATTTTCTTTTCCCAAATTTAGATTCATCAATCTGGACTATCTTCCCTGGGCCACCAATCTTTCCTACCGCTTGAGTTTTATCCATTTGATATATAACTATAGTTTCCCTACAATAACTATACCAATCACATATAGTAACTCGGCTTAAGGATTTAAGTCTATCATCTTTATATGGATCTTCACGCATGGTTGTAAGATAGCTCCAATTTTGCGAAAACGCATATAATAAATAGAAAACATGAACTAATTCTATTTTAATATTTTCGAAAAATGTTCCTTTATTTCTAGGAACTTTAGTTTTTGATCTGCAATTTCCTTTCGTGCAACACCATGAACCAAATGTTTTATTCGTCGATTTAGCAATTTTCATGGGTTTACGATGTGTACTACATTGCTTTTGAGAATGCACTAAACCATTTTCTTCAGCGAATGCCACACACTGCTCATTGGTACCTAATTTTTTATATAATCTAATCAGATTCCACAATGAGACCACTTCCTCACTATTCAAGTCACGATTCACAACGGACCCATCGTCCTCAAAATCATTTTCACGAGTAGAACTTGTAGACGCCATCACTATAAATCTGAAAATGATCGCGAGAAATCAGTGTTGATTATGTATGTAAAGCCAAGTTTCAAAAAATGCAAATAAAATAACGCACTTTCACGTGAAAATAAAAAAAGAAACGGATTTATAAAGTAAACTTTGCACTGTAAAACTAATTACCGCTAGTCTAGCATAAACCACATTCAAAATGGCCGATTAAGTTTATAAAATTAATAGGGATGTGAAAAATAATCGATTTTTTTTAAAGTGAAAATCGATTTTTGTATTCGATTTTAATATTAAAAATAATTGAAAATTCGGCGACCAAATATTCATATACTAACTCTAACCTAACCAATCTAAATAATATTTGTTTTTGTGGACAGCTCCGGCGCTACGGGAAATGCAGCCCCTCCACCCTTGCGTACCAAAGCACAGGCATTTTATTCAAGCCTCCGCAACCTCGGCTTTTTGGTCGCCTTCGGCGACCAGCCTCAGCCGCTACAGCTTTCATAATGCCTGTGCTTTGTTACAGCGGGTGGGGGCTGCTCTTCCTCCGCGCCTCCGATTATTTATATACACTCTAGGGGTAAGACAGACAAGACCACGTGGATAGTGGGGTGCTCTGATTCGGTTTTGGGTACTTTTTGGATATTAAAGTAAACACTTTATTCTAGTAAAAATTAAATAATATAGAAAGTTGCAAACAATGAAATACAAGTACTAATTAGAAAATACAGACGAGTAGGTATCGATAATTTCAAAAAATTTCGGAACCCTATAATCTATCAACACGAAATTAGGTTAATTTCAATGTTGATTATTCTATAACTTTAAATTTCAAAAATGAGGAAATAATCGATAAATAAATAAAACGATTATTAACAATCGATAAATTAAAAACACGATTTTTTTAAGTGAACGTCACATCACTTATAACCAATAGAAAAGTAGAAAATGGCGGATTGTTTACAAATTTTAATACATTACACAAAACTTTAAATTTTTTATAAAAATATTAAGACGCGTTTCCGGAGCAAAACTCACTTGGAGGTGTTCCAATGAAGGTCCCCCGGACACTCCTAGATAATTAGTATCGTCAAAAACGTGAGGTGGTATTTAACACCCAACCCCGATGAATGGCTAAAATTTGTGAACAAGATCGGTTAATTGAGATGCAGGAGGAAAGGTTTATCATAAATACTGCGTTGAAGACGTTTTTATGGATGTGCAGTATTTGGAACCATTTTCAAGTTCTTAATTAATTAATAAACTCATGAACAGAGTAATTTGAGTTTTCATCTAAATTTCAAACCCCACATTCGCCACATTTTCAAAAATTATCCTTGTTCATTGGAGAAATTTTTATATTTACATGTTTTACACACAGAATCACCGCTATAAGGAAAAAAATATATCAAAACGTTTTACTCCAATTTCCCCAGTATTGCTAGCGTAAATTTCTTTTTTCCCTTTTTGCCATCAGATCCTGGTAGACCTATAATCAAAACACGAAATCACGATTTAGAAGTATTTGCAATTAAAATGTTTCT